CAAAGATGCACAAGAATAACAAAATAAATTCTAATTCACTCAAACGAATTCAAAATAAATACAAAATTCTTACAAATAAATACAAATGAGAGGTAACCTCTTCTAACTTACAATCACTCATAATCCCTTCTAATCTCTACTATGAGTGTATTATTATTATTATTTGTTTTTCGGCAACTTGCCTCATATCTGAGTCTTTGAGCACAATAATTGGTATCAGAGTATCGTTGTACAAAATAGAGCTTTTGCATCTTTGTTTCAAAACTCTGCCAAATTTCAAAGTTGCCAAAATCAACTTTTGAATACACCATTGCGTAGCTCTCATCGAGTAGAGCAATATGAATCAAAAAAAAAAAATTCACCTCAAACGGACACTAGAAGCTCTCCTAATCGCAAGTCAAAGTTGGCTTGAAAAAATCAACCATCAAGTCGAGAAGACGAACTGAGCCCAACCAAATGAGCCAAGCCGAAGAATATTCTGTGGAATATTTTGTGACATCACTGTGACATCATTGTGACATCATTGGGTATATTCTATGGAATATTCCATGCCATGTCAGCACCCAGTCAAACAATTTATCAGCATTGACCATCTACCACATTAGTGTTGACTGACTGCCACGTCAACACTGCCACGTCATCAGTAATTTTTGAAATTTGTATTTTGGCCCCTAAATTTTGGTAAAATTATAATTTAGCCACATTTATTTCTGAATTTAAGTTTTGGTACCTAAAAATTCTGGAATTTTCAGTTTAGCCTTTGAAAATTTTCAATTTGACCCTTGAGAATGGTGTTGGTATACCAAACTGTTCTCGTCATCTCCGAAGTGGGCTCTTCTTTGGTAGTTTTAGTTTTTTTTTTTTAATTTAAAAATGGCTAAAGATAAAGCTTCAACAAGTAATCTAGAAAAAAGGAGTTCAATCTCTAGTGCTAAGTTTGAGGTGGAGAAATTTGATGGAAACAATTACTTTGGCATGTGACAATGCGAAGTTATGGATGTTATTTACCAACAAGAACTTGATGTCGCTCTAGGAGACAAATTTTCTAATATGAATGAGAAGGAATGGATGCAAATCAATCACCAAGCTTGTGGCATGATTTGATTGTGTCTAGTAAAAGAGGTAAAATACTTTATCATGATAGAAACTTTGGCAAAACAATTATGGAAGAAATTGGAAGATAGATACATGACCAAGAGTATAGAGAATTGTTTCTACTTGAAAAAAAACTCTTTCGTTTCCAATATTGAAAAGGTATTTTGATATCTGAACACTTCAATGCCTATAATAAGATATTTGTTGATCTTCAAAATTTGGATGTTGATATTGAAGATGAAGATAAAGCTCTTTTGTTGCCAAATTCTCTTCCTGTCACATATGATCATCTTATCACTACTCTATTGTACGGTAAGAATGAATTTGTTTTAAAAATGTGTCTAGTAGTTTGATTAACAATGAGTACAGGAAGAAAGACAAAGAGAGCTTCAATGACACATTTAGTAACGTTTTGACAGTTAGGGGTAGATCCCATTCGAAGTTAACATGCGTTAGAGTTAATCCCTTGAAAGATGAATGTGCCTATTGTCATGAGAAAGGGCATTGGAAGAAAGATTGCCTAAGTTTGAAGGGAAAAAGAAATGTTGTTTCCAAAGTCAACGTAGCACAGAATGATATTGATTATTCTGAATCTAAATTTTAGGTCGTTGATGTGGTCTTCGACCATTTGTTGGTCTTGAAAAAAAAAATCGCTTTTTTCGATTTGAAGAAGATCTTGTGGCAATATACTTCAGGTCTTAGTAAAACTTTGGTTTTTTGGAATTTGACATCATGATGGAGTTTTAAATTTAGATTTGTTGCAAAAAATTAGAAGAACTAGTTCGTTTTGTTTTGCAGTTTGGATTGGCTTGATATGCCTCAATCTTTTAAATTTGCTGTTTCGTTTTGATTTGTTTGAAGAGTGGTTGTTTGTTTTGTTTTGTTTGGTGCAGTAGAATTTGTTTTGGGCATTAGAGTGTGGTCACTTTGAAGCACTTGCATGGTTGGTTGTTTATGGTATTTTGTCAAGGTGGAGTTTTTTGTTGAAATTTATGTACTGGAGAATTTTTGCCAAGGTGGAGAATTGTGAGGAAGGTGGCTCAAACTTCTCCTCTCTCTACTTCACCATGAAGAAAGAAGCTCCTAGATCATCCCTGGAGGTCCTAGATGGTCCAAAAGTTACTGAAGAAAATAGTTTTGGATTGAAGTTCTTAGTTGGTCAACTATGGAAACCACCATGAAGCTTCCCAAACAAGTCCGAAACGCGGTGAATTTGGCATCACTGCTTGCGCATTTCTGAGGGTGATTGGCAGTAGAGCAGGTTCGAAGAATTGATGTTGTTTGATGAGAGGAGGTTGAAGGCATTATATCACATCCAAAGGTATCAACGCAGAATTGCTAAGGCCTTCAACAAGAAAGTCAAATCTAGAAATCTCAAAGAAGAAGATATGGTGCTGAAAGACAACTGAGCCCCTATCCATGACCCTAGGGGCAAGCTCAGACCCAATTGGACTGGTCTTTATATTATCAAATCTATCTGGTTAGGAGGAGCAATTATCGTTGTGGATTTAGATGGCTTGGAATTCTTGCAGCCGATCAACATGGACAAGTTAAAAAAATATTATCCATGAGAGGCTTATGAGGCCGAAAATCCGAAAGGGCGACCTAGGCAAAAGTTAGAGTATGAAAAATTAGAAACAAAGAAAAACTGAGCTTGCAAGGTTGAAAACCCGAAAGGGCAGCTTTAGCAAAAGATAGAGTGCAAAAAAGAGAGTGTTAATACTCGAATGAACCCGAACCGAACTACGTAAGGCCTGATTCCCATCTTTGGGATACGTAGATAATTTCACCCTAAAGTTCGGCCATAACTATCTCCAACTCAACTGTCTTGTTCATTTGTTTAATCGGGCCATCTCTTTCTATCATCTATTTTCTTGGATGTGTTATCTCCATTTGGCAGAAAGGCCAGTTGCAAGATGAAACAGTGAAAGTAATAATGGTGAATGCAGTTGTAGGCAGTATGATCTTTTGATTTGGGGTCGTACATCTTAAGGGTTGATTCCGTGTGTGTCAGGCAATGACCATTTTCGAAAATTATTTTGAAAAGTTTTAATAACTTGACTTTTTCTCAAAATTTTACCTTTTTCAACAAGCCATTTTAGATAAGCCATTTTAGACCAGAAAGGAAAATTTTCAGTGCTTGTAACTTTAATTCCATTGATTTCAGCACAAGTACATCCTCCAACTCTCTTATTAAATTAAAGTTGCTTTTACATCCTAACACTTGAAAAGAAAAGACAAAACAATAAACTAGGGACATAGACAAGTCAAGTGGTCCTATGTCTTCTGCTTGCACTTGTGGAGGTTTCTATAGCCAAAGATGGCCCAACTTGTTCTTCGTCTTCGAGCTAAGCTAAGCACTCGCTGGAAAGGGCATAACTGAAGCTAGGGGCAGGGGTCAGAAGTTCTCTTGTCCTCCAAGCAGTGAGGTACCGAGGCAAGCTTGAACCGCAAATAGGAAATGGAGTCGGGTATTCCACCCCTTCCTTCGAACAGGTATGATCATGTCCAAACTGGCGTCTGAACCTAAATGGGAAATAGGACACATAGTGTGTGAGGCCAATCAACTGTATACCTGGCTGTCGGGGCATGCTGTAGCTCATCTCCGTCACATTAAGTTAGGAGAAGCGCCAAGCGATGTCAGCTGCAGATCTGCTGCACAACCAGTCGCACCACAACCCCTCTAAAAGGAAGTCCACTAGTCGCTGGCGGAAAAAATAAGCATTGACTGAATATGTAGGACAAGGGTCCACCACTTTTAGCTTATCCATCAACCACACTTGGGAAGGGATGAAAAATAAGAGAGATTAAAGAATAGAGAGATGTACGTTGAGAGAAAAGTAAGAAAAGGGCATCAAGTAAAAATAGAGAGTGAGTACAGAGTGAAGTGAGTATCATAAAAAAGAAGGATGGGAAACAATACCTAGAGAAGTAGCAGACTCCCTGCAAATCGAATGGTCTCCTGCCTGTGGAAGGCGTCTAAACCCATCAGAGTTTCGGCCAGTGCCAAACCCATGCAACTCTTACGTTGTTTTAGGTATTGGGCCACTTCGATCAACCTAATACTAGCTCCAGTAGAACTAGGGGCAAGAAGGAAGTGCGTAAGTAAGCATAAGCAGAGGGCATGTTGACGATGACCTCGCCAAAGAAGGTCACCCCTGTCTCCAACACCTAAAAAGTGATGAATCAAACCGGGAATATCTACCTCCCAGCCGTAGGCCAGAGACCGAGCCTCGTGTAGAGTAAGCCCACACATCCGTTCTAAAGCCTTTGCATGGCCAAAATGGGGCTGGGGCATAATTTCCTCGTCATGTCCGGACTCCATCAAAGCTTGAAATTCTTCAATCATAGGGCATATCTCTTGTGCTCCGAAGTAAAATACATGCATAATCGGGTTCCAACATCAAACAGCGGCATGGAGGAATGAGAAACAAAGTGAAGTGTGGCTTAATGGAAAAAACGCGTTTATACTGAAGCCTCGGAAATTTACTTTTTTCGAGCTATCCAAAGTGGTTATCCAGTCTTAGAGCCTATTGTTGAGTAAAATCTCCATCTTGAGAGCAAAATCTCAAAGACTTGCTATTCTGCCAAAAAAATAGCATGGGGGCACCTTTTATAGAATTTGAGAAGAAGCAATGCATGACAGCTGGATTGCACTGACCGACATTTTTTTTTAGACCTGGTCATGCCTCATTGGGGCCTGATCGTGCTCTTTTAGGCCTGACCGTATCTAATGTGTGGCCAAAACAATAATGTTTGCAAGGAGGGTCAGCTTTGCCGAGGCATCTTGTTGTTTTGTTTTGAGTCTAGTTTTGGTCCTTGTAAGTGTTTTTTTATCGTTTTTAGGTTGTTTTCATCTCATTTTTTTGTTGTCGAGTTGTATTTTGCATTTTGTCTGGTTGCAGGTTGTTATCTGATTCGAGAATAAATTCAAAAGCGAGTATTCAGTTTTAAAGTCTTGTACAAGGTTATCATGCAAGGGTTATGCCATCCATCACATACTATGCAAGAGAAATCATCCAAAGTCTTTCTTTTCATAAATTGGTGGGTCTAACCTCGATCATTGTTTAATAAAAATAGGCAAAAGAAAAGTCTTCAAAAACAAAAACAAAAAGGTCTATCTGAAGCTACATCATTTCTAACTACAAAGCAAAAAGAGAGAAAAGAAAATAAATCAACCTATCCTGGCCTTTTTCATCCTTAATCGTGGAAGAGGCGCGTCACTATCATCACTGGCACTGTTGGACTGGATGCCGACCTCATCCCTCTCATCCTCAGGGGTCGTGTACTCATTAAAGAAATCCTCAGAGGGTGAGCGTTGTTTCACTCTGCCCCTCCCTCGATCAGTCCATCCTCTACCTCTCACCAGGGCTCGTCTCCCTCTCCTTTTTCCAGTTGGGAAAGGTCTTGTAGGTACAGTTGGTGCCGGCTCAAGTTGAAGAGAGTACAAATATCAGAATGGATTCAACATGACTATGAGCAAGATTGCAACAACAGTAGACTATGGACAATGTGTACCTTGATCCCGTGAGTAACCAGAGTAGTCTGCCTCCTCCGCACCATGAGAAGTAATAGGTAAACCATCCGAAGAAGGACATCGATATACCCTACAAGCACCTGTAAAAGAGAGAAAATTTGAGAATGTGGAACAAAGAAATAATAAAGCACAGTGGGCACAAATGTAATGGAAGTGTTTACCTGCTCAACACTGGGAGCAACCACTAACCTGTGGTCCCTTTCCTTAATGTGCTTAAGAGAGATCTGCTCAATCACCCCATCTGGTCGCATGTATACAACCTCGGTCAGTGTCATAGGAAGCCCAAGAATGAGAGCTACAGCAGGAACATCTTCAGCAACGGCGACAACAACCTCAGGAAGTGCACAGACCACACCCATAGTAAGAGGAGCCATCACATGAGTCTATAGGAAGGTGACGAAGTCGCCAGCTCTATGGTACCGATCACCATCCTCTTTTTGCATCAGGTGATCAATCAAGGGCCCGTCGTGGAGGTCATCAACAATCCTTATGCCTGAAGAAAGGGGATGTAGAACATCAGGATCAACTCGGACTTGAGTTTGGCGAATAAATTGCTCTCCCAAATGATATGCCCTACCAAAGGGACCCTCGAACAAAATCCCCATGGTGGAGGCCTCCCATGTAATAACATAGGTCGGTCGTCTTCGACACTGGGGAAATGCCCACCCAAGGGTGCCAGTCAATCTGCAATCAAATATTTGAGGTCAAGGGTTGAACATTATGAAAGCAGTAAAAATGGAGATTAATATGAGGGTTTGTTACCCTCTCAAAGGTGACTGTATCGAAGAAGCGGCAGAAGTAAGGGAGGTCACGATCTATGCGTCATTGCCGCTCAAATCGAGAGTTATAGTACCGAGAGCGGGGACAGACAACTTAATCGGCTGCACTGGAACTGGGACAAGGGAAATGAAGTATGTGTAAACCCACAGCTGCAAAAGGAAAACAAGTTGAGAAACCAAGTGAACAAATGAAGCAGATATAAACAGAAAGTACAAAGCAGAAAACATAGTTTGTCGTAAAACAGAAAAGGAAGTGTAAAGGTATACCTCCCAGACTCTCCAGTATCCACCAAGTGAGCCCGCCTTTCGACGGAATACCGAGCTCATGTAGTAGTAAAGGGTGGCTAGGCTGGCACCACCCTAATTATACTCCCCCACCTGCGGGAGATACACTAATGCATCCAGGATGTATAGCCCCATAGTATTTTCCCTGTTCGCAAATAGAGTAGTACTGAGGAGATACATAAGGAAACCACGGGTATATTGAGCGATCTCCTTTGGAATAACAGGCTGGAGGCCAAGAGAAGTGGCCCAAGAACTAACTGTAGTGAACCATCCTGTGGCTAGTAGTATCCGGAATCGCCTCGAGAAGATGAAGTTGTGCAGCTCTCCACTGTGCCATGTCAAGATCGAATGGGATCGGGCTGCCAACCCTTACCTGCAAGCCTGTGAGCATCGAAAAATCATACGGGGTTAGAGTTAGCTCTCCGATCGATGAGAAATGGAAAGAGTCGATGGTGTCCCACCATATCTCCACTAAGGCCCCGTATAGCAGTGGCTCGACCCTCATCTGTATAAGTCTTGAGCAGAATGGCCCGAAGCCAGCAGCGTCAACTAGTGTGCAGACCTCTGGGGAGAGCCTTTCGTACCAATGCTGGGGACCAAAAACAATCCCGTAGCCACATATCGTCCTGGCTATCACCTGTGGCATGGGGAATTTTGTCAGTATTCGCATTAAAGGACAATAAATGATTTGCTTATGATATTCAAAATGTATTCAAAACAAAGGAAATAATGCTTACCATAGAGGCATTAGCAGAAAAGTGCTCTACAGGCTCTCGCAATACGACCTCCTCATCAATCTTGGGAATGAGGCCTTCAAATCTCATAATACCGCCAGGGGTCAAGGTGTGTGTGCATGGTTGGTAGGTGGCCACATCGAAAGGTCTATCGGCAAGAGGGAGCAACTCGGGCCTAGGTACAGGAGGAAGAACACCCTCGGCCGCCATATCCTCACAAAGGATAGCACCAATATTTGTGGCAGGGTCCAGAATGGGAACTTTATCACTAGCCATAGAGGGAAAATGCGGAAACGTGAGGAAAAGTGTGTAGGTGGGTGAGTGAGAGGAAAAAACCCCAAAGATAAACCCTAGGAGAGAGAAAATAAAGTGAGAAAGAGAAAAACAAGAGATAGTGGGCAAAACCCAAACAAACACGTAAGAAATCAAGAAAAAACAAGAGAAACCCCAAAACTGAACCAAATCAAGTTTTACTGGGTTCAAAATATAGAGGAGTGGAAGAGTTTTCAACGAAAAATTCACGAGGGTTGTTGGGTATCGCAAGTGGGATGAAAATCTAGGGAGAAGAGAAGCTTAAAGAGAGGGAATGAGTGATTTTGAATGTGGGTGTATGTAGAATGAAGTTCTAAGTATGTTTTAAGCAACCACGGGTTGCAATTCTATTGAACTACCCTTTTGCCGCTGTCGATATTCGGTCGGCTCTGTTGGAGCCTGATCGTGCTTTGTTTAAATCCAGTCGGCCCAAAATGCAATGTGGTTTGTTTATTTTGTTTGTTCCAGTATTGGGTCAACGTGTTTTATTTCAGGCAGGCCTCGATGCAAAAAAAAAGAAGAAAAGAAAAGAGAGAGCAAAAAGAAAATAAAAGAAAAAATAATAGAAAAGAAGAGAAAAGATAAGAGGGAGAAGAAAAAAAACAAGAGGAAAAAGATTTTTTTGTTCCTTTTGTTGTTTTGTTTTATTTCATAATTTGTTCAAATTGCATTCAGCTCTTTATATCTTTTATAGGTACGTTACTTCCAATTAGGCCCATTTTCAAGAGAAAATCGGCAAATTTGATTCCATATTTGAACATTATTTTGATTTTTGCATCATTTTGATTTGTTTAACTCATGTTTAAACTTTGTACCTTGAATTGGGATTACCTCCATAAGCTTCATTCTCCAAGGCCTTCTCAGGATGGGATAACCTCGTCAAGTTTGAAAACTCGTTTGCCCTTTTGCTGATCTGAGGGGCTTTGAACCTCCTACGCAGTTGATCTACTTGGTTAAAAACATCAGGTGTGCCTGGTGTTCACACCATCTTTCCTCCTTTCGCGTGAGACACGCTAGGCAGTTGATCTACTCGGTTAAAAACATCAGTTGTGCCTGGTGTTCACACCATCTTTCCTCTTTTCGTGTGAGATACGCTAGGCAATTGATCTACTCGGTTAAAAACATCAGGCGCACTTGGTGTTCACACCATCTTTTCTCTTTTCACATGATATGTGCTAGGCAGTTGATGTACTCGGTTAAAAACATCAGATGCGCCTGGTGTTCACACCATCTTTCTTTATTTTGCATGAGACGTGCTAGGCAGTTGATCTACTCGGTTAAAAATATCAGGTGCACCTGGTGTTCACACCATCTTTCCTCATTTCGCGTGAGACGCACTAGGAAGTTAATCTACTCGATTAATAACATCAGGTGCACCTGGTGTTCACACCATTTTCCTTCTTTCGCATGAGACGTGCTAGGCAGTTGATTTACTCAGTTAAAAACATCAGGTGCACCTGGTGTTCACACCACCTTTCCTCTTTTCGAGTAAGACGTGTTGGGCAGTTGTTTTTCCTCGGTTAAAAACATCAGGTGCGCCTGGTGTTCACACCACCTTTCCTCATTTCTCATGAGACGTGCTAGGCAGTTGATCTACTTGGTTAAAAATATCAGGTGCACCTAGTGTTCACACCATCTTTCTTCTTTTTGCATGAGACGCGCTAGACAGTTGATCTACTTGGTTAAAAACGTCAAGTGCACTTGGTGTTCACACCACCTTTCCTCCTTTCACATGAGACGTGTTGGGCAGTTGTTTTTTTTTGGTTAAAAACATCAGGTGCGCCTGGTGTTCACACCACCTTTCCTCATTTCGCGTGAGACGCGTTGGGCAGCTATTTTTTCTCGGTTAAAAACATTAGGTGTGCCTGTTGTTCACACCACCTTACGTCCTTTCACGTGAGACGTATTAGATTGTTGATTTCTCTTGGTTAAAACCCTTTCTCTCCATATGTAATATAGAGAGACGTGTTTGCCGATTGCACCGTCTTGTTAATTGCTTACTCCTTTCCGTGCGAGACACGGTTAGATTTGTTTTGGAGCTTTTCATTCGTGTTGTTACTTTGCTATTGCTTATCATTTTGTTTTTTATGCTCATAGTTTTTTTTTTCAAAGGCATTCTTCCTACACATCATTTCCATCCTGCCCTTGAACTATGCAAGTTTGATTCCTTGCAAAGGGATACGTACGTAACCCTCGGGTTTAACCAATTGTATTTGTATTTGTTTGTTTGCCCAAGTCTTATGGCCTCGTCAAATGGGTCGCCTTTGGGCTTTGACATTCACTTGCGTCATTTCATGGCGTATTGAG